ATTTTAGTTAATTATAAGATGGAAAAATGTTTCTGAATCTTATAACTCATGTAACCTTTCAAAAAATTTGCGAAACATGGCTGGAGGGGGCGGAGGAGACTTTGACCCCTCGCTTTGCCAACATCATCACAAAAAAACTAGGACCACCCATTGCAATGACTTCTTCACAATCAAAAACATGGTAAGTTCTTCAAAGATTATGTGCAGATTGCAGCAACGAAGATGGGATTTTTCAGGATTGAGATAAGGGGGAGGGGGAACGAGGCAATTTATTCTGACGAAAAATCTTGGACCACCTCATCAAAAATTTGTACTGAGACTATGAGACTATAAGTTTTCGCAAGGTTGTATTAATATTTTTCAAACTATAAAAGGACGCGCGTAGGCCACAGCTTCTTAATTTTTGAACCCATTTCCTATAAAAGAAAACATTTTGACGCCCAACGTCGAGACAGTTGTAAGTGGACAGAGTACTTGGAATATAAGAACTAACCTTGAAGTACATCTTGTTCTTAGCTTTTTGAGCCAGAGCTTTGTTGATGGCTTTGTCATAAATAACTAGCACCTTTTCGGCAAGCTGTTGTGGAATCATCTCTGCAATAAATTTTTCTTGTGCAAAGAAGCGTAATTTATCGACCTCATAAAAGGCACTATACTGATGGAAATAAATTTGTAGTTTCAAAGAGAAAAAACGAAAACGCCAGAAAGAGCTAGTTCCGATCAACAAAAAACTTACGCTCTTGAACAAGATCGTCAAGCGTTTTTTGCAAGGCTTCCCCCAGCGTGGTGTTCCTGTACATTTGATAGTACGTCATCTGCAAAACCACAACTTTCTATTATGACGACATTTTCTTTCAAGCGCTATCAAAGCTGTGCTAGTGCAGCTCGTTTCTCGAAACTTATATCTCCAAAATGAACTTCTTGTTATTCGAGCCCCCATTAGAACTTGCTAACATCATGCAACATTTTTCACAAATCGCAGCATTTTTCGTCGGATAGTTTGTGGCTAAAACTAGTGCTAGCAACAAACATGTGCCTTGTAGGAGTGCCAATCTTACGCATGCTCACAAAAACAAAAGAAAACAAAGAGAGATGAGAGGGCATGCCCATACCTTCACACGACAGTCTCAGACAGATTTTTCATTCAAAGAAGACAACAAAAACACAACAACAACATTCAACGATGCCCGAATTTCGGGACAACAAACACATGCCTAAATTTGGCTTCTTATAAAAGCGACAAGTCAAATATTCTGATGACTCCACCGCCGCCAGCGGTCATGACTCGTAAGGGATTCGATGCCAGTAACGCCATGTCTAGTACGTCATCGCCGCCATTTCCCAGTTCCTAAAAAAGAAAATTTTATTGC